CCGCGGCGGCCGCGGCCTGGCCCGCGGCGGGTCCCCCCTCCCGGTAGGGGCGGTGGCCCCGCGGGTTCCCCGGTGACCGTCCTCCCCGACCTGCTCCCGCCGCGGGCGGCCTCCTGGCTCGGTGCTTTTCCCCCCGCGGGCGGCGGGACACGGCGGCGTATCGCCCGTGGCCGTTTCCCGGCGTGGGGGGCTCGGCCGCGGGGGGGATGGAACACGCTCACCGCCGCCCTCCCGTTACCGGGGCCGGGCCCACCGGGAGGGAGCCGAGGGATGACGTGCGGGGTTGTGGCCCCCGTTCCGTGGGGGGCTGCGGGATCGCCGCCCAGCGGAACCCCCCCGGAATGGGTTGGGACCGGGGGTCTGCTTGGTGCTGCAGTGTCATCGGGGCCGAGTGGGTCCCCCCCGGTAGTGGGAAGTGAAGGCTCTCCGGTGGGACCGGGGAGCAGGCTGTGACCGGCACCGAGCGCCTGTGTGTGTTTGTGTGCGCCAGGAGGGGGGGGGTATTGATGTCCAGACCCTCTGACAGGCTGGGAGGGGGCTCCCAGAGCCACCCCCTTCCTTCACCCGTGTCAGCAGAGCTCAGACCGTCTGTGTGGGCACATCCCCGGAGGGCAGAACTGCTGCTGAGCTGCCCTGGGTGGGATTTGGGGTCACCAGGGGACCCCCGTGGGGAGAGACGGGGCTGGGGGGAGGCTCAGGAGAAGCGCTGTCCTGACTTTGTGTGGAATTGGAAGGTGGGGGGGGGTCACCCCGTTTGTTTGGGTTCCTGGGAGGGCTGTGTGAGCCCATTGGGAAGAAAGCAAAATAAACAAGAGTATGAAATCCACACCGGGAGAGAGCGTTCCCGTGCGGCGTCCCCGCCTGCTGCCGGTGAACCGTGCTCCTCCACCTGCCCGGGGCCACCACAGAGACCCTTTGTGGGGGACACAGCCCCTTCCCCTGCCCCCCGGGTCCCTACCGAGGGGGTCTCCCGCTCGCCTTCCCTCCCGGTGTCGTCCCCGGGCCGGCCTGCGCTGGAAGGGGGTGACGTCACCGTGTTTACACGGGGCTCGTGGCACGGTTCTGCGATCAGGAATGTGGAGAATGGGGCCTGCGTTGACTCATGCGCGGTGCTGTCACCTCCCTTGCGCTGCCTCCCAGCCGAGGAGAGAATTGGCTGCGCTTGTGCTGAGTTCAGGCCTTTTGAGCTCTGGGGAAATGTGTTGAGGCTGCATTTTCTCCGTTGCAGTCATCGCGTTTTGGCACTTCTCACCGTTGATCTTTTTTCAGGAAGCGATCAAAAGCTGAGCAATCAGCAGTCTGGAGAGTTTAGGCCAAGTTTGGTCTCTCTCCTGGTGCTAGTTCTCTGGGCGTCCTCTCCGTGAGCTGCCAAATAGCCCTGTCTCTGGTCCTTCAAACGGGACCCAAAAAAGAGCCAACAACTAGCCTTGGGGTGGTTCTTCTCATTCTGACTGATTTATGTGTTGCTGTGTCTCCTTTTGATGCCCTTGGGAAGGGGGATCTGGATGGTGCCAGCCCCCCGGCGTGTTCCCCAGCGCACCCCAAGGTGCTCTCTTCCCAACGCCCTGCCTGAGGCCGTGCGTTTGCTGCCTGGTTTGTTTTATTTCAGCTCTGCTGGAACGAAGGAAGCTTGAGTGCTTGCCAGGCAGCTGGGAATTCTTCAGCGCCACGAGGCAAAACACATTTTGGTGGTCCCACTGGCCACACCTGCCCTCGACAGAGGTGCTGCGGGGGTGACATTACCGGTGTCCCCAGCTATTCCCTTCCTTCTCCCCCCATCCCCAGCAGCCGTGTTCTTTGCCAAGTAGGAGCAGAGCAAAGAAACACAACGGTATGGGAAAGAGGGAGGAAATAATGGGTTTTTGTGAAGCCGTTGTCCGTGTGCTGTCCCTCCTGTGTCAGCCTGCTGCTCTGCAGCTCCCTTCCCTGGATGGCAAAGTGACCCTTTCCGCACCGGCACGGTCGGGCTGTAGCGGACATCTCGCTGGAAGCATTGTCCTCTGGGTATAAATAGCCTCCCTGCTGGCAGGCTGGAGGCTTTGGGAGCGTCTCTGCCGGTGTCCCGGGGAATGCTGACCCCGTTCACCTCTACTAGGTGGTAGATGCATTGCGGGGAGCCTGCGCCACAGCTGCTAGAAGAGCATAAATTCGTATTTGCTGACTTGTGCATCTGGTTCTTGGCTACGACCGTACATCAGTGCCTCTTACGCTGAGCGAAGCGGTAGCACACACAATTCTTGTTGACTGTTTGGCAGTGGAGAGACAAAAGGTGCAGAGGTGTCTGTAGACCGTGCTTGCACAGGAACCCTTGCCTTGCTTAAGGAGGTGTGGGGTTCCTGGCTGTTTGAGGCGAGTAATATCCGAGTGGATTAATCAATTGGGCAGTGCAGTAGCACTCTGAACTAAAGCCTGAGGGGAGGAGGTATGTGGGGACAGGAGAGGAGCTTGGACATGTCTCCTGTGGCAATGAAGGGGTTTGTTCTCCTCTGGTTTTGGTTGCCCTTAATTTGCTTTCTTATGAGCATACCTTGGCTCTGAAGATAAGGGAGGGAGAAGATGGGTCTGTGCCCTGGCAGTGCAGGGACAGATAGGGGCTTTCTCACAGGAGAGACCTACAGCTGGGGTCCCTTCTGTGAGACTGGGAGAGGTGAAGGCTGCTGAGGCATCAGCCCAAATTCGTGATGGGATTCCCTTGTGCTGCAGTATTGAGTTGTCTTCCTGCTCCTTGGGAACGGTTGGGTGCAGAACTTTGACTTGAACCTGGATGTGGTGGCTTTTCTAGGAAGGAGAAAAAGTTTGGAGAGGCGCGAGCGCGGCAGTGGTGCCCAGCAAGGGGTGTCATGGAGGCAAAGGCTTTCCCTGCGCTCCCTGCCCAGGGTCGCCCATTCTCGAACCGTACGGGCTTGGGTCCTTGGGGCACCTGGGGTCTGGTAGGACTCCTGTCCTGGGGGGTTTCTGTGCTGTGCTTGGGCACCCGTGGGAAGGGTGCTGGAGCCACGGCTGCCGTGCTGTCCCCAGGAGTGACGGGGATGAGGCTGGGAGCAGGAGGCGCAGCAAGCCGGTGTGCTGAGTCAGCATGACTGGCCCTGAGCAGCCCTGCTCTGGACCCAGCCCGCTGCCTGCCAGGCTATTTTTAAAAATGTGGCTTCCGTGTATTCTGACTCCTCCTAGTTTTTTTAAATTTCCCCCACCCCAAGTGAAAAAAAAAAAAAAACACCAAACCAAAACAGCATTGTCACAAAGTCACCGTGGGAGTAGGGGTGTGGAAGGGCAGCAGTTTCTGCTCGGGGACAGAATCTGCTGCTTGTGAGTTCAGCTCAGGTGGGTGTTTGTCGAGTGTCACCCTGGGAGAAGGGGGTGGGATGTACAGCTGCTGGACGGGCTGTTGCTGCTGGACCCGGCTGTGGGGGTGTCACGGGGTCTGCTGTGTCCTGGGGGGCTAACCTTTCCTTCCTTCCCTTCCAGAACCTGATTGACAAGGCTGTCGTGTTATGACGACCCCCAACAAAGGAAACAAGGCCTTGAAGGTAACGCGGTGGGTGCAGGAACGGGGCGCGGGCAGCGGGTGCCCCGGCTTTAGGTCTCACGAGGGTGTCCCACCTTCTCTTCCAGGTGAAGCGGGAGCCAGGCGAGAATGGGACCAGCTTGACAGATGAGGAGCTGGTGACCATGTCCGTGCGGGAGCTGAACCAGCATCTGCGGGGCCTGTCGAAGGAGGAGATCATCCAGCTGAAGCAGCGTCGGCGCACGCTGAAGAACCGGGGCTACGCGGCCAGCTGCAGGGTCAAGCGCGTTACCCAGAAGGAGGAACTGGAGAAGCAGAAGGCAGAGCTGCAGCAAGAAGTGGAGAAGCTGGCCTCCGAGAACGCCAGCATGAAAATGGAACTCGATGCTCTCCGCTCCAAATACGAGGCTCTCCAGAACTTCGCCAGAACCGTGGCCCGGAGCCCCGTGACCCCTGCGCGGGGGCCTCTCTCCTCCAGTATGGGGCCCCTCGTCCCTGGCAAGGTTGCTACCACTAGTGTCATCACGATAGTGAAATCCAAAACGGACGCCCGGTCTTAGTGAAGCGAGTGTTGCCTGAGCTTGTCTGTGCAGGGCAATTAGGCACAAAACCAGCCTGGAATCCCCAAAGCACAAACCCTCCCCGCACGGGTCCGGGTTCCTTCTACTTGGCCCAGGACTGGCCTGCTGATCACTCCAGTTTTGTTTTGTTGTGTCCAGATTGGTATGAGCAGTGGTGACGCGTCCCTTGTCCTGTGCAGACGGAGCCTCCCGCCCCACGCTCTGTAGCCCTCGGGACAGACTGCGAGATCTTGGTTTTTCCAGCCAAAGAAAGTCTGTGCAGCGTGGCCGACGGCAGGGCCAGAGTAGGGGGGGGGGGGGGGGGGGTTTTCC